GCGCACCTCCCGCCCCAGTGGCCTTACGTCTGGCGGGGCCGCGGTTTCACGTTGAAGCGAATCGCTTGGATCGACGGACGTGTTTTTGGAAATGTCGGATGATGGTATTTTTAAGGTCAGAGATGAGCTCGCGAGGGAGGGCAACGTCGCCCTGGGGGTGCGGATCACCAAGCTAGACCACCGCAGCAGATGCGGTGACCTGGACCGGTTTGATCTGCGTGGCAGTTTATGGACGGGTGAGGGCAAGGAACTCCTCCTCGGGTGGTCACCCAAATTCCGCATCAGCATGAAGGGCGAAGGAGGGTCGCAAGACGCCACGAACCTGCTGGTCTCGGTGCAAGGCCCCACGTTCGACCAGGCAGCGGAGGTTACACTCTGGCGGCCGCCAGTCCTGGGGGGGGGGGGCGTTCCACAGCGCGAGCGCGAAGCCCCCAGGCCCCCCCCCGACACCAAGTACCCATCGAACAGGTGCATCGTGTTTTACAACCACGGGAAGTACGGCCCGTTCCACGAGGACACTTCAAGGGCGCCTCGCCCAGACCACGAGGGGGGCGCCTGGTACAGGGTGGACAGAGCCCCCCTCGGAGGTACAATACTGGAGGCAGGCAAGCGCCATCAGCGACAGCTACTTCCTGAACCAGCACCCTGGCGACCTATTCGGGCTCCCCCTACCCAGCGTCGCCTACGCACTCTCATTCTGCACTGCATCCAAGGGGGACAAGGCCGCCGCCAACGACGCGGCCAGGACCAGCAGGGTCGGGCACCACCTCAGGGCCAGCGCGTCCGCCACGCCCGATGGCCCCGCCCCAGACGCTGACATCGAAATCCTCCAGGCCCCGGGCACGGCTCTACACGCAGCCCTTCACTACCAGCGGCCACCGCCTTCTCGGACGAGGAGGTAAGCTCCGCCGTGGGCCGAGTCTTCCAAAGGGCAAGGACGAGACCTTCGCAGAAGACTCTGGAGCAAGGAGCAGACAGGCACGGTCTCAACGACGACGCCAGGCGGGCTCTGCGGGCCACCGCGGCGCACCACGTCACCGTTGTCCACGGCACCCCAGGCACAGGCAAGACCAAGCTGTCCACTGCGACGCTCGACATCTGGGGAGGCACTCTCATGAGCGGACAGGTGGTCGCGCTCGTCGCAGGGTCGAACGCAGCAGCCGACCAACCCGCCCTCGCCATGGCCGCCGCGCGCCGCGGGAACCAGCTGGACCCCGACACCTGCCTTCCTGCCAGCTTCGCACGGCTGGCCAGAAAGGAGAAGGTTGACGAGGAGCTGATCAACCTAACCCCAGAAGGACACTTCCAGAAGGCCACCGGGAGCTTCCCATACACACCGGAGGGCACCGCACCGGACTTCGCGCAAGTCCGCACCGACCTCATCAGCAAAGCAAAGGTGATCATCTCCACGCACGAAGCGGCGGAGGCACAAGGCGGGTTACGTTTGCTTTTATGGAAGCCTTGAAAAGTCGGAACAGTTTTCTTTTTTGGTGTTTAGCGGCCGATAGCGGCGAATAGGGGCTGATTGGTGGGCGGTTTGCGCGGGGCGCGTGTGCGCGGCATGCTTTAGTGGGGGCGCTCGCAAACGGTTGTGGCACTGGCAGGGCGCGGCATCCTTTTCGGCTCGGCGGCCGTACCGTGGCGTTCACATGCACATTGCGGCGATCCGTTGCTCGTGGATATTCCGCGCGGCGTGCAAGGGATGGGGATGGGGAGGAAACGGGGGGGACAAAGAATGGATACACTGAGAGAGCGAAGGGTCAGCTACCCCGATGCAGCGTTTTGTGGGGGCTTCCGTTTCGCGGCCTGGTTGCTTCCGCAAGGGGGCCCGCGGATATGGTAGCTTAGCGCTGCAGTTTCACTCCGTTTGTCCTGTTTTATTCCCTTTCGTTTCCTCGGCGTCCGTTCCCAGCGCTGAGGAAAAAGAAGCGTGGCGGGGGACTTGGGGGGGGATGGAGGGGGAGAAAGGGCAGATGATGATGATGAGGAGGAGGAGGTGGGGGAGACGGAACGGGGAGGAGGAGGAGGAGGAGGAGGAGGAGGAGGAGGAGGAGGAGGAGGAGGAGAAATATGAGGAGTAGGAGCAAGAGGGGGCGGAAGAGGAGGGAGGGTTAATTAGAGGAGGAGGAATAGGAGGAGGAGGGGGAGGAGGAGGAGCAGGACGAGGAGCAGCAGGAGGAGGAGGAGGCAGAGGAGGAGAAATATAAAAAGGAGGAGGAGAAGGATGCGGATATGCACAATCGGCATTCCAGATGCTCGTTGAGAACGGAAACACTGCATGCGCGAGTCTCTTCTCAGGGCAGCAGTGGAGACTGGGCCACCCGTGAGCGCTAGATCCCTTTCGGAATTTTTGAGCCCCCAGTCCCGGACGGGGCTTGGACCAGAGGATTAATTAATCATGGGGTTGGTACGCCATTGGGGAACCTTCAAAAATCCTGGGTGGAGAACGTGCGGGTCGGCGAGGGGGAGGAGGAGGAGGAGGAGGAACAGGAGGAGGAGGAGGAGGAGGAGGCGGAGGAGGAGGAGGAGGAGGAGGAGGAGGGCGTGACCGCCAGCCGGACGGCGACGGCCAAGCTGTCGGCGGCCGCGCTCCCATCAAACAGTGCTCCCGACAGTCTTGTAGGAGTAGGGCCCGTCGCTGCGGGGAGTCGTCCTCCTCCCACGCAGGCCTAGGCAGGTCCCAACAAGTACCGCCATGTTGAAAACGGGTCCTGAAGCTTTGCGCCGTTATCGGGTTCCCCAGGCCTTCGGGGGGGCACCGAAACCATCAAAGCGACGACGACGACGACGAAAACGGGCCTCAAACATCTCCGAAAGCGGTTTGGGTCCAAAGCCCGACTGCACGTCTGCCCACTGCGACGACGCCGACGCCGACGCCGACGACGCCGACGCCGACGCCGACGCCGACGCCGACGCCGACGCCGACGCCGACGACGACGACGACGACGACGACGACGACGACGACGACGACGACGACGGCGGCGGCGGCGGCGGCGGCGGCGAAGACGACGACGTCGACGAAAACTGGAACCGGTTGGGTCCACGGCCCGTGTGCGACGCCTGCCCAATGAGAGGGGCGCCGCACCCGGGGGGCCTTGCCCTCCCGTCCCGCCTCCGAGCATGCGGCCCGATGGCACGAACCAAATTTCAATGTGGATCGGTGGAACGCCAAGCAAAGCGACGACGAGGACGAATCAGGCCGAGGACGACGACGACGAAAACGAACCCCAAGCATCTCCGAAAACGGGTGGGTTCAGGGCCCGTGTGCGACGCCTGCCCACTGCGAGGGGCGCCGCACCCGGGGGGCCTTGCCCTCCTGTCCCCCCTACGCGTAACCACGCCAGCACTGTAGGAATAGGGGGAAGACTGTGGGTAGGACCACGACACGACAACGAGCAGGCAAAACAATTAAGAATGCGACTGCGAGGAGGCAGGCGATTACCATTGCTCGGTCGCACGTAGGACCACGACGGTGACAGGTAGGAGCGGGGCCAAGGTGGGAAGGGGTGCTCCCCCCCTCTCTCTCTTTCTTTCTCTTTCTCTCTCTCTCCCTCCTTTAGCCATTTTTGCCCAAATTCCTTTAGGGGTCAACGCTCCGCAATGTCTCTACAATCACAGGTCAACCACGTTTTCTGTCAGTTGCAGGCGCTCCAGCTGAGCATAGCCGAGGACGGAGGGGAATACAGCGCCACGCAGGCATCCATCGACCGGCTGTTGGTTTCATTTCAGCAAGAATTCGAAAGTCGTCGTCGGCAGTACTCCCGCAGAGATGGCGGGCAGGGCGTCGTCAAGCTGGTGAAAGAAAAAACACCGAAACAACTAGCCAAACGAGTGGTCAACGTCATAAGCCAGAAGAAACAATTAAAAGTCGCTTTGCATGGAACGTGGAGTGCGTTCAGGTATGCGTATTGCCGACGCCTGGTGCGTCAGGGTGATGCTCAGTGTTCCAACCGTGGCGACCGACACGCTTGTGTTATTTTGCTCTCAATTCCCCGTGGTCGCCACCAAAACCATATCGTCCACCTCTGTGTGCAGGGCAGGGTCCGCGACGCCATGGCGGCGAGTAAGAAGGCCCAGCGGTTGCTCCGGGAGTCCCTGCCGCACCCGGGGGCAGCGAGCGCCACTGACCATGTTCCGACCGTGCTGGTAGCCCATGCCCACGACGATGCGTACATGCGCATGCGGTCGTACGACCCCTCGCTGTCCGCCCACCCTGGCATGCGGATGCCCGCTGGCTGTGGCGTCATGCGCCGGGCAAAAGGATCCAAGATACAGAATCACGTCATGAACATATCATTCCCCAGTGGCAGGATGGATTGGTATACAGAGTTGATGGCCTTGTCCAAGAAGGACGCGGTCACCATGGCCACAACGCTCATACTAGCTTTCGAAGGCCTTCTCGAAAAGATGTTGAGTGGTTGTGCAGACGGGATATTGATCAGGGTAGTCCACCTGTGCACTGGTGATGCCGTCGGTACGAGCGAGGCTGCTTTGCGTCGGGTCCTGCACCACTTTATTCGGTCTTCTCGATTTGCCAGTGAGGTTCTGTGCATGTTGATCCAATGGAGATGCGCCAGTCACAAATCGAATCTGGTTACAATGACGACCATCTGTGGGCGCAATACCAAGCACCCAATCAGGTCTAACGAGCTCTGTGGGTCGCTGGTTCGGTACTACAAGTACCTCGTGCCCTCCTATTGTGACGACTTCGGATTGCGCCTCCGGGATTTCGTGATGCGCCGGTTGACGTGCGCGTTCGAAGCGCCGCCACCCGTGGAGGCTCGCAGCGACTATCACTTGCAGCGGCTTTACGGGCGGGATGTCTACCCCCCAGACCTTTGCGACTTCTTCAACAAAGGGGTGGGCATATGGCAGCGCGCTTGCCTTGCAGGGACCAGTGAGGCCGACGTGAAAGGTCGTGCGTTCTCTTTGTTATACCACGATCTCCGCGTGGAGGCGACCCCAGTCGTCACCCGGTTCTTTTTATTTGCATCGTGCGCATGTGGGCTCTCGCGTTGCAGATTATTGGGGCACCCAGCGACATTTTCAAGACGTTGGCGGCGCAGCCCCGTAAATGCAATTCCAAACGCATCGAGGAGTTCCAGGCCTTCTATGTGTCGCTCGAGGGCGACAGGGACTTGCACCGCGCGTGCATCTGGTTCCGACTGACGGTGTGCGCCGTCAGCATATGCTCCAAGAAAGTCAGGGCGGACGGGCCCCCCCCGACGTTGATGCAGCTGGGGCGCAAGAGGGTTCAGACTGAGACAACGTCGCTCCTGGTGGAGCTAGTGCCCCTCTTGCAGCACGACGCGGGGTTGGACCTTGATGCGACGGTGGCGTCACTGCTGAGCACGCAAGCACAGATATACATGAGGTTCGATGAATACCAACAGTTTCCAGGAAAGCTCTGGACGTTTACGGAGAAATATAATTCGGGGCCTCATGACGCAGCTTGCCAGGCGTTTCTCCACGCGCCGGCGAGCTCCTTGGACGCGGGTTATTCGCTTCCCTTACAGCGGGGAGCCTGGGGGCGCGGGTCCTTCGCGGCCGCGCTGGCTTTCCTCCAGTCCCAGGGCGTGCAGGACGAACTCGCCCGCGTCTTCGAGGAATCGGATGCCACCAGCATGGGCGTGGAGCGCAAGCATCATAGTGACAAGCGGTCCCAGCAGCGCGCCAAGGTAATGTCCGTTGCCCGCGCCTCCCGGAATTCGGTGCTACAGGCGTTTCGCACGTGGCGGACGAGGCTCGGATCCAGGGCGACGGCCCAGGGGCGGGGCCGGCGCCGGCGGTGCTGAGTCTCGGGTACCGACGCCTTGGAAGCACCGGCGCTTTCCGGTTCCTGGGGCTTCGGCGGGCCCCACGGCCCTGGACTTATCCAAACCCCCACCCGCCCCTCCATCCCGCCCCGTGCCTGCGATTGGTAATTCTGGCTCAACGGCGCCGAGGCTGGCCTCCCCGAGACCCCTGGTGCCGCGTTGGATCCGCAGGGCCATGGGCGACCTCTACCAGAACAAAAAGTGTACTCCAAGTACACCACCATGAACGCTCGTGAATTGGGTGGTCAAAGGCGATCCTGGACCACGGTGCCCCCGGGGGGGTCCAGGGAGGCCCCCGCGGTTTACAGAGCACCCCTCGCGAGGCCTAGAGGGCCCCGCGGGGGGCGCGAAACTGAACGCAAATCTGGGGGCGCTGTGAACCAGGGGCACCTTTGGCTACCCCCCGAAAAGGGGCCGCGGCAGGCTCCACTGGGAGACCGGCGTCGACGCTTCCGAGGCCAAGCGCATGACTCACCAGGGCGACGAGGAGCATTTCGGGGCATACCAGGCAGAACACCGCGAGCGCCTGGTCAGCGAGGCAGCCGAGATTCGGCGGCAGGCGAAGGCAGCCCTGCGGAGCCAGGCGGGCGACTTTCCCGTGACCACCGCCGACTGGTTGCAGTGGCTGGGGGACAACAGGGACATGTGGAACACATGTAGTCCAGGGTTCCTCCTCCTCCTCCTCCTCCTCCCCCTCCTCTCCTCCTCCTCCTCCTCCTCCTCCTTCTCCTCCTCCTCCTCCTCCTCCTCCTCCTCCTCCTCCTCCTCCTCCTCCTCCTCCTCCTCCTCCTCCTCCTCCTCCCCTCCTCCTCCTCCTCCTCCTCCTCCCACTCCTCCTCCTCCTCCTCCTCCTCCTCCTCCTCCTCCTCCTCCTCCTCCTCCTCCTCCTCCTCCTCCTCCTCCTCCCCTCCCCTCCTCCTCCTCCTCCTCCTCCTCCTCCTCCTCCTCTTCCTCCACCTTTCCTCCTCCTCCTCCTCCTCCCTCCTCCTCCTCTCTCCTCCTCCTCCTCTCCTCCTCCTCCTCTGCCCTCCCTCCCTCTCTCCCTCCTCCCTCCTCCCGCCTCCCTCCTCCTCTTCCTCCACCTCCTCCGCCTCCTCCCTCATTTTCCTCCTCCACCTCCTCCTCCTCCATTATCCTCCTCCTCCTCCTCCTCCTCCTCCTCCTCCTCCTCCTCCTCCTCCCCCTCCTCCTCCTCCTCCTCCTCTTCACTGCGGCCGCGGCCGTGCATGACGCGGGCAGCGAGGGTTTCAGCGTCCCCGCCGGGGGCGCCCGCAGGGAGGCCAGCTGGGACGGTCGAGCTCCGACCCACGAGGGTCGCCTGCAGCAAGAGGTCTCCGACGAGAGGTGGTGGTTCACGAGCCGACGCTGGGTAGACTCGGCCGTGGTCGCGCCACCACTATAATATTCCTCATTTTAAGAGGCGGAGCCGGCGTGGCGGGCGAAAAAAACAACTCCCCCTTCCCCCCCCGCCTCCCTCCTATCCTCCCCGCCCGCCGTGGACGCGAGGGCGGCGAGCACCAGCGCCAGCGCGCGTGGCGGCGTCATGGCGCCGCGCGAGCCTTCCGCGCGAGGGCCGCGCGGGGGGTGGGGCCAGGGGCGCGCTCGCGGGGGCTGAAAGCCACCGCGCGCGGCGACCCCGCCCCGTCGGGAAGCGCGACGTGGGGCCCCTCGATCAGGGGCCCCAGATCGGGCGAGAGGAGCTGGCGGAGGAGGAGGATGGATGAGATGAGGAGGGGCCCCTCGATCAGGGGCCCCAGGGGATGGATGAGAGGAGGAGGGGCCCCTCGGTCAGGGGCCCCGGCGTCGGGGAAGATGAGGGGGGATAACGGCGGAGGGCGAAGATGACGGGGAGGCATTTTTGGTGCATTGCAATTCCGCGCGCACGAATGCTTCGCGGCCCCTACTTCAAACGAGCCCCTCGACGAGAGGAGCCCCGTTGGCTCATCCTACACGACGCGCTACGGCGCCCACGCAAGGTGGGACCTCGCATACTCCCACGCGTCCTCGAACAGGAGCGTGCCGTCGTTCAGCTGCTGCCTTACGTCTTCCCCGACCTCTTTCATCTCCTCCTTTGAACTCGTACAATTCTTGCCGCCGATGGAGAATATTTGCGACCCGCCGCCAGCCAGGCGCAGGGCGACGCTGTGCGAATTCTTGTAGTACATCGATGGGCCGATCTCCTGCGCATGGAAATCGAACGTGGCCGCTGCTGGCCTCTTCCTGGCCGCTGCTGGCCTCCTCATGGCCGCCGCCGCGGCCCCCTTTGGAGCGCCGCGCTCGTCTGCGGTCGCGGTGGCGACGGCGGCTTCCTCCTCGGCGCTGGTCATGCTCGGCTTTTTCTTCACGGCGCCCTTCTCGACGATGGCGGGCTGCTCCGCGGCCGCTGGCTTCTTGGAGATTTTTCCTGCGGGCTTCCCCCTCTTAGGCAACCCTTCCTCCCAGGCGGCGTACGTGACATTCGTCACCTCGGTCTCGATCGGCCCGGCGGCGCCGCGCGCCACGCAGAACCCTTTCGGCCCTGGCGCGAGCGGCAAAGCCGTCTCGGTGCCGTCGTCACTCAGGAACTTCAATTCCATGGTCGCGTAGTCGATGGTAATGATCTCCTGGGGCCTGGCGGCCTCGCTGCCCGCGAGCTCCTGCTGCGACGACTCCTGCTCGGCAGCTCCTGCGGCGGCCTCGCCGTCGCGCGGCGCGTCCTGGGGGGCGAGCGGACGAGAGAACAAGAGGAGAGGTGTGGGAGCACGAGAGGGGCGAGTCCTGGGACGCCACGATCAACTCGGGCGACTCCAAGTCCATCACCGCCGAGGATTTCTTCGGCGTGGCCATCCCGTATAACCCTGCGACGCTCCTGCGTTTCTTCGCGGGCGACCGCGGCCCCGCGGCGGCCGTGCTCGGCCCTGGCGCCGCGGCGGTCGGGCTCGGCCCTTGCGCAGCGGCGGTCGGGCTCGAGCCCTGGTCGCGCATGGCCGCGATCACCGCAGCCATGGCTGGCGAAACCTTCTTGACGTCCTTGCTGCGGTGCGCCGCGCAGTAGCTCAGCCCGTTCTTCATCGCAATGGCCCAACTGGTCAGTTCGGTTGCGGACTTCTCTGGGGCATACTTCTTGGCTTGCTTGGCCAAGTCGGGGTGCCCCAGGCGAGTCGTGACCGCGGCGCACTCGACGAGGAAATCCCTGTACTCTGCAATCGTCTGCTCGATCTCGGCGCTGCCCTTGAAACGAACAATGTCCAAGCTGTACTTCTTGCACAGGGCAGAAAGAAAATCCTGGTCTGCCTCGCACTTGCGCCTCGACATGTCGGGGCGAGGAGGCTCTCGCGGAAAGGCGGGGGGCGGGGGCGCGACGCGACTTGAGCGGGGCGGCTGCGTGGGCGAGCCCCGAGTTCATCGTTAATCAAGGAACAGACGCCCCTTAATTAAGGAACGCGCGACGCTATTTAAGGCGTACGAAAACGCTATTTAGCGAGCCTTATTTAGTTAAATCCTTAATTGCCGTGGACGACGCTAATTAGCGCATCGGGCGCTAATTAGACCTAGGAATTAAATAGAGGAGAAAAGAACTTCATGGCCCCTCCTCCTCCTCCTCCTCCTCCTGCTCCTCCTCCTCCTCCTCCTCCTCCTCCTCCTCCTCCTCCTCCTCCTCCTCCTCCTCCTCCTCCTCCTCCTCCCCCTCCTCCTCACCCCCTCGGGCCGGTGGCCGGGTGCGCCACGCGCGCGCATCCAGCTGAGGAGAGCACCCTGGGCTCGGAAGGAGGACTGGACGCCCGAGCCGACAAACGCACGAGACCCAGACGTGATCGCGCCGTTTTTGTTTTTCTTTCCTTGTTAAGTTGTTTGTGCGTGGCGGGAAGGTGTTTGGCCGGTTTCGGCCTAGGGGGGCCCTCGCCGGGCCTCGGGGGCGTCAAGCAGCGACTCAGGATGAAAAACCGGTCCCGGGGATAAGGGTCGGGGCTTCCAGGGCCCCGTTTTGAGAATATCAGGACGGCGCATGTCTGGGTTGCCCAAAAATTGATTCCCAGTCGAATCTGCGAAGAATGCGAGGATTGTTCTGTAGACCCACCCGTGTTCTGCGCACTGTTCGCCGATTCGACTCAGGATGCAAAATTGGTCTTGGCCCAAGACCAACTGGGGATAGGGCCGGCCCTATCCCCAAGACTCTTGGGGATAGGGCCGGTGCTTCTCTGGGGACCCCGCCTTGAAAACATCAGGACCTCGCAGGTCCCTCCCTGCTCGAGGCCGCTGGGCGCCGGGCGCCTCGCGGCCCTCCCGCCCCAGACATGCAGCGTCCTGGTGTTTTCAGCACGGGGCCCCTGGAAGTACCGACCCTCTCCCAGGGACCGGCCTTGCATCCCGAGGGCCGGCGAGGGCCCCCCGAGGCCGAAAAGATCTGGAGAAGCTGGCCGCCACGATTTTTGTTCACGACGCGGCCAGGTCTGGGCCCGCCTCGTCCCCCGAGGAGTGCCCAGGCCGCGGCCCGCCGTCTTCGCGCCTCGCCGTCGCCTGCGCTGCCCGCTTGTGTGCTGGAGAGCCCGCTCGCCGCCGACGAGCCACGCGCAACAACTGGAAAAATGGCCTGAGGGCTCGGGGCCCCGCCCCTCCTCCTCCTCCTCCTCCTCCTCCTCCTCCTCCTCCTCCTCCTCCTCCTCTTCCTTCTCCTATTCCTCCTCCTCCTCCTCCTCCTCCTCCTCTTCCTCCTCTCCTCTCCTCCTCTTCCTCCTCCTCCTCCTCCTCCTCCTCCTCCTCCTCCTCCTCCTTCCTCCTCCTCCTCCTCCTCCTCCTCCTCCTCCTCCTCCTCCTCCTCCTCCTCCTCCTCCTCCTCCTCTCCGGGCCCCCGCCCTCCCCGGGCCCCCTCGCAGTGCGAACAACAACACAATCACGGTGGGAGGTCTCTCGCCACGGCTTCGGCCTCCGCGGGGGCCCTCGCCAGGCCTCGGGGCCGCCGAAAGCCGACTCGGGAGGAAAAGCCGGTCCCGGGGGCACGCGCTGTGCTGTGAACAAATCACCCTGCACGAACGGAAAGATTGGGCACAATGCCCAGCAGAAGTTCCTGTTCATTTTGAACAGGACTCGCTGTCCGCGCCGCCGCGGCCTGTGTCCATTCGAGACAGAGGGCGGCCTGCCCAACAGCGGCCGATGTCGGTTTGGGACAACATTTGTTGTTGGGCATTGTGTCCATTTTCCTAACCCATTTCGGGCGTCCAAAATCACGGCGGGAAGTTCTTGTATATTTTCAGCCTCCGGGGGCCCTTATCAGGTCTCGGGGCCGTCAGACAGCGACTCAGGATGCAAAACGGGTCCCGGGGAAGGGGTCCAGACCTCCAGGGGTCGACGCTGCGAAAAATCGCGACGTCGGGGGTCTGGGTCAGGGCGCCCCGGCCCTCCGGGCCCCATCCCATCCCTCGGTACCCCAGCCGCTCTGAGCCTGCTCTTTTTTAGATTCCGGCAGGATTGCTTGCATGCACGGGGGGGGGGGGGGGGCGAACCCGAAGCAGGCCACAAGCGACCTACCTGCATGTGACACAGAAGGGGGGAGGGGGGGGGGGACAAATTGCCATGCAAGTCAGCTTGCCTGCATCGACTTCTTCGTGTGAAAAGAGAGGGGGCCACAAGAACCCCAGACCCCCTCGAGCTATGAAAAAATCACGACGGGAGGTTTTCCATGATTTCTGGCCTCTGGGGGCCCTTACCGGCCCTCGGGACCGTCAAAAAACGACTCTGGACGAAAAACCGGTCCCGGGGAATGGGTCGGGACCTTGGGGGTCGCGTCATGAAAAAATCATGACGTCGGGGGTCTGGGACGGGCTCTTTCCTCCCTCTCGGGCTGAACCCGAAGGAGGCCACAAGCGACCTGCACGTGACACAGAAGGGGGGAGGGGGGGGGGGGCAACTTGCCGTGCAAGTCAACCTGCCTGCATCGATCTCTCCATGTGCAAAGAGAGGGGGCCACAAGAACCCCAGACCCCCTCGAGCTATGAAAAAATCACGACGGGAGGTTTTCCATGATTTCTGGCCTCTGGGGGTCGCGTCATGAAAAAATCATGACGTCGGGGGCCGCAAGAACGGGCCCTGTCCCCCCCCCTCGGGGCCCGTCTCCCTCCCTCTCGGTGCCCTGCCCGGTGCACCGCCGTCGGGCCCTCGCCCGGCGCCCCGGGCGCCCCGCGCGGCCGCTCCGCGCCGAGCGGCGCCCGCCGCGGCCCGCCGCCCTCGGGCCCCCGCACCTCCGAGCCCCGTCCTCCCGGAGCCCCCTCGCGCTGCGGAGAAGTCGCCGGCGGGATGTTTTTGGCGAACTTCGGCCTTCCAGGGGCCCTTCCCGGGCCTCGCGGGCCGTCAAAGAGCGACGCGGGACGGAAAAAACCGGCCCTGTGGAAGGGGTCCAGACCTCTGGGGGTCGACGCTGCGGAAAAGTCGTCGACGGGATGTTTTTCGCTAACTTCGGCCTTCCGGGGGGGCCCTTGCCGGGCCTCGGGGCCGTCAAAGAACGACTCAGGACGGAAAACCCGCCCTGTGGAAGGGGTCCAGACCTCTGGGGGTCGACGTTGTGAGAAGATCACGACGTCGGGGGTCTGGGTTTTGGGCCGCCGCCCCAGACGTTCAAGCAGTGGCGAAGCGTCCTGGCGTGGTTCAAGCAGTGGCGAAGCGTCCTGGCGTGCCGGTGGGCTTACCAAGCACTGTTCTAAGAACCTTTTTTGGTTTCGACGGAAGTTTAGAACAGTTCTGGCTGGGACGGTCTGGTTTTACCGCATCGGGTTCATGTTCTAGAAACATTTGTTTTAGTTCTTGGAACATTTTGGGGTTCTAGGAACAGTTCGTGGTAGACCTACAGGATTACCGGGACGGTCGGTCCCTGCTCAAGACGTGCGATATCATGATTGGTTCAAGTTGGAGCGTCCTTGGAAGTCCCGATCCCAGACATGATCGCGTCGTTCAAAAAAAAATCAAGGCGGGAAGCTTTTGGCCGTTTTCGGCCTCGGGGGGCTCTCGCCGGGCCTCGGAGGCCCGTCAAATAATTACCTATATTCTGGACGCCCGAGATGGGCACGGAAAGAATGGGTACGATGCTGAACAGCAGTTCCTGTTCATTCTGAACAGGATTCGCTGTTCACGCCGCCGCGGCCTGTGTCCATTCGAGACAGAAGGCCGCCTGCCCAACAGCGGCCGCTGCTGGTTTGGGACAACGTTTGTTGTTGGGCATTGTACCCATTCTTTCGGTACCCATCTCGGGCGTCCAATATATGACGTCAAACAGGATCTGAGGAAAGAGTCGGGACTTCCTGCAGGGACCCTTTCCCCGCGGACCGGCGAGCCTGGAAGCTTTTCGGGAGGCCCCGGGGGGGCAGCCGCGAGAGGCAGGAGGAGGAGGAGGAGGACGAGGAGGAGGAGGAGGAGGAGGAGGAGGAGGAGGAGGAGGACCAGCAGGAGGAGGAGGAGGAGGAGGAGGAGGAGGAGGAGGAGCTGTCCCCCAGGAGCCTGGGGGGGGGGGGACGGGGCCGAAGAGCCCGAGGCGCCCAGGAGGGGATCGCTCCCCGGGGACCGCGGGAGGCGGTGGACACGGCAGGTTCCGGGAGTGCCGACCAGCAGCGACCCCAGCGCGGGCGCTCAAGGTTGGCGGCCGCCCGTGGCCCAGAGGCGGCCATCGCTCGACGACCCGGCGTTATCGTCGGGGGCGGAAAAGAGGGGGGTGATGACTAGGGGGGGGTGGATATCATGGCGGGGGCCATGATATTTCCCCAAATCTCATGGCGCCTCTTCTTATTTCATGACGTCCCTGGCCCCCCCGCTGGGCCGCGCACATGCCGCCGGTCATGATTTGCACCCCCCCCCTCTTGGACACCCCCCTCTTGGCCGCTCCCGATCTCGGAACGGCCGATCGTTCAAGTTGAAACGATCCCCGCGGTGTCAAAAACCAACGCCGAGGTCGACCCGACGCGAACCTGCCGAGCGTGTGGACCAAGCATACGGTCGGACCGAGGTGTACGATCGAGGTCGGCTCGGGGAGGGTACCCTGATGCTCTTCGTGCCTGTCGGATGTTCTCGTCCATCCTGGGGGAGGGCACCCTCGAAGGCTCTTCCGTTCGGCCGGCGGAGAGCGTGCTGGAAGGTATCTTCCTGCGCCGGCGTCCACGAAGCATGCGCCCTCGGAGGCCCGCGCGGGGGTCCTGGAGCGGCCCTGGGCCCTCCTGGCGGCGCCCCCATCGCCACCCGCTCCGCGCGCCAGGGAGGGGGGCCCATTTCCGACCCGAGAAGCTCGCGCGGACCTTCGGGCGCCGCGCTGCGAGGCCCCAAGGCTGCAGCGATCC